ACATGAAGAGGGGGATGGTCTGGAAGTAGGGTGAGAAAGGAGCCATAAAGGATGGTACCTTTTAGCTCTGAAACTGGCAGATGGGTGTCCCTAGTGAGGAGTGGGTGCTGGATGAGTCCTGAGACACTAACCACTAGACTGTTCCTTGTTCTTACCTTACTTTGGTCCCTCTGAGGTTCCTTCCTACACTGTAGCATTCTCCAGTTGGGAGGGGCAGCCCTCAATCCTGTAGGGACTGGGCTTGGGGTCAATACCTGTTAAGTTCTTGGCCAATGACAAGACTGGAATCTGTGCCACCAGCGAGGGGCTGATGCCATGGGGATGGGGCTTTCTCTTCAGCTCTCTGGCTGAATAGCAGAAGGCAAGTGTTGGTGAGGGAGTGGTCTCTAGGTCTCTAGACGGGTCACAGTGTCACCTGGATGAGTGATGCCATCCAGTCTGAGCAGGGAAAGTGAGGCTGGACGGGGGTTGGCTCAGTAGGTGCTGGGATCTTCATCATGGTAGAAGACTGATTGTGACAGAGGTGGAAATGGTGCCCGGAGTCTACTGTTCCAGCCCTCTGTTTATAGTTATGAACTTCCGCAGCTGCTGCTGGGCTGTCATGTAACTTGGAGATGGCCAATGGACAGACTGGGTAGAGTGCTTGCTGAGCACACACCTGAGGACCTGAGTTCGATCCCAGATTTGGGAGGCAAAGACAGGAGGATCTCAGGAACTCACTGGTTGACCAGTTTAGTAAACTGGTTAGCTCTAGGTTCAAAGAGATCTTACTCTTCTGCAAATGTAAGATAGAGCTGGGAGGTGGCTAAGTGAATAAGATCACTTACTGCACACACAGGAAGGGCTGAGTTCTAACCTCCAGGCACCACACAAAAATCTGGACCTGGTTGCACACATTATTGTAAGCCCTGGTAGGGAGATCTCTGGGACTTGGTGGATGCTGACTTGGCTCTAGGTCCAGTGAGAGTCCCTGTCTTAATGGAACAAATCAGAGAGTGAGAAGTAGGGAGCCTGACATTTTTCTCTGTCCTTTGCATTCTTGCACAGTGTACCCCCAAATGCGTGCATGAGCACACATATACTATGCATGTGCACACACCAACGAGAAAGGAAATAGCTGGGTGACTTTAGGAAGGGAGGTGTGCCCTGTGCTTCTTTCCCTGCCTTCTAGCTGCAGGAATGCAGGTGTGATGGGTGGTACCTGAGCAGCTCTTTTGGCCTGTGAGGAGGCAGCGGAATGGCTGTTGAGGATGTCCCTGGAAGAAAACCATCTTGGCTCTGAATCCTGACCTCACAAAGCCACCTGGCAGCCTGGACGGTCAGCTCCGGACCTCTTTTTACAGCTGTGAGAGAAATAAGTCCTGTCTTATTTTAAGCTGCTGTTTTCATCTTTCCCGTTGACGCACACAGCTGAACTGGGACACTGCTGCTGGTGGAAAAGGGTGGGAGGCAGTTTGTGGAATCTGGACTGGAGCAGGTCAGGGATGATGAGATGGAGGAGCAGGTGTGGTACTGATGCAGGGGGACAGCGCCTTGTGGGGAGGAACTGGTACAGAAACCTTAGTACTGCAGCACAGACCTTGACAGCTCCCTGGAGCTTGAATGATGAGGAATGTTGGAGCCTGTCTTAGCCACTGTTTTGCTCTAAAGGGAGCACCATGAACAGAAGCTGGTGCAGAGGCATGGAAGGGGGATGCTTCCTGGCTTGCTCAGATTGCTTTCTTATAGAATGCAGGACCACAAGCTCAGGGATGGTACCGCCCACAATGGGCTGGGCCTTCCCCATCAATACTAAGTAAGAAAATGCCCTACAGGCTTGCCTACAGCCTGATCCTATGGAGGATTTTTTTTTTTCAATTGAGACTTCCTCCTCTCAGATAACTTTAGCTTGTGTCAAGTCAACATAAAACTATCCACTACAGAGGCACAAACCTAGACTCCAGGGTGCAGAGGAGAGGGGAAGCTGAAGGGGTACAATCTGGTTTGGTCTCCAACAAGGGCATTGCTAAGGTGGACAAGGAGGGAAGTCACAGCTGAGAAGGGACATTGGGGCCAGGAAACCCAAACGCAGGTGTCTCGAAGCCCCTGTGAAAATGGGGTCTTTGGGTGGAGCTGGCCGCATGAGCAGATGAGCTGTGAGCTGGGTCTGTGAAAGTGGAAGATGCAGGGAAGCTTGTTCAGTGGAGCCCCAGGAGGATAAAGGGCCCAGGAGCAGCACCTGTGGGGACCAGGGTGTGGATGCTGGGAGGAAAGATAGCCTACTAAGGGGACTTGTCCAAACACAGAAGTCCCCAGAAAGAAATGTAGGCTGACTAGGAGGCTACTGTTAGGCCTCTGACATCTGAGAACCTTCTAGATTCTTCCTCATGATACCCTGGGGGAAATACTGGTGTCTCCAGGACAACAGGCCAGGACCCTAAGGGGACTCCACTTCTGCTAGGATGGTCTGTGAATACTGGAGTCCTGCCGGTGGCAATGAACTTGAAAGTTCCAAAGCCTGAACATGATGGCCAGCTGATGCCAGCAGGAGTACCGCAGCTGGAGGAGCTGGGGGGGGGGGGGGCTTCCTTGAAGCCTGAAGTCCCGGCGACTCCTGTGGACTTTCAGGTTAAGCTTCCAAGCCTGGACTGTGTGACAAGTGTTCCGGAAGCCCTGGGGAGAGAGGGGTGATGTGGCCAGATTAGGGCTGAAGAAAGATCATCATGGCTGCCTGTTCTGGCTACTGAAAAGGAAACCAAGGCTGGCCAGGAAGCTCCTGTGGCCCCAGGGATGGGAAGAGAGCCGGCACATTCCCCTGCACCTGGATGGTGCCTAGGGCTTTGGACCCCGCCAGGTCTAGTGCTCTGGGCAGCTGCACAGATGAGGGTGGAGGTGAGGTTTGTGCCTCACTTGCCTTACAGACCAAAACTCCCAGCAAGGAAGAGAGGGTTGGGAGATGAAGGGGGGGGGGAGGAGAAAGAAGAGGCCTGGACAGCACCAGCTAGGCTAGTCAGTGTCACCACCACAGACCCAGCTACGATGACACTGGGTCATTCGAAACTGGGTCTGTGGTTTCTGATTTTTGCCCAGGGATAATTATTTCTTTCGACTTTATATGTGCTTTGAGTTTTCTTAAATGAGTCTATTTATCTGGAGGGAGGAGCTAAGCCCAAGGTTTGCAAGCAGAGCACGGCACCCTTCCTCTCCTGTCTCCACTAGGATAGTCGGTCATCATGGCTTCCTAAGAAGCTTCCAGGAGTGGCCTATGCTTAGGAAACCTGGCTGCCAGTTTCCCTGTCACTGTGGTTATGTTTCTCTCTTCTGCGCAGAAGAACTTCCAGAGGAGTAGGGAAGTGGGGTGAGAGAATCACCAGCCATTTTCTGTGGCTGTAACTCAGTCATGACAGAGAACTGAAGTTTGTTGGGCTTACAGCTGTGGACACTCAAGAGTGTGACAATGGCGGTGGGTAAGGCCTTCCTGCTGCACCGTGGCAAACGGCAGGCACCCCATGTCCAGACAGAGCAGCGTGCCGGCTCTTGTCACTCTTCCTCCACAGCAAGTCACTCCCGCCATGACCCCTCCCCATGACCTCCGAAATGTCTATCTCCACAGACCATCGATGTACGAATTTGGGGGTTGAATTTACAAGTATTTGGAGTGCACTCATATCCCACCATGGAGAACTGGCTTTTACTTCACACCTTCACGTGGGCCCTGGATGCATTCCTGTATATCAGTCCCTTCTACCCGCCCAGGCAGAAACCGATGAAATGCTATTACAGTTTGGATATGAGCTACCCCCAGAAAGCTCTTATGCAGAAAGCCTGGCATGCTGATGTTGCCATTAGGAAGGCATGGGATCATGAAGATGCAATCTGGATGTGCTACTAGGAGATCCCAAAGCAACTACAACACTGGCAAGTCTCACTCAAGCATGGATGATCGCATCCACATAGCTGCTAGGAGTCCCTTCTTCCGCTAACCTTGTACACTTTATAGCATGTAGCACCCATGAATCCAGTTATAAATCGCTGGTTGGTGGGTGGGAGGGGGAGGCTGGACCTCACATGAGGGTCTGATGACACTCTTTTCCCCTTCTGTGATGGGGGAGGGTGAAGGTCAGCAGCTCTAATCTTGAGGATATCTCATGGTACTCACGGCTTTTTTTTTTTTTTTTTTTTAATAAGAAGCAGCATCAGCTTACTGTATTCCCCCAAGCAGGGCATTAAAACCAGGATGAAGGGAGAAAGAAATGGGACGAGTGGGGGAAAGGCAATGAACTCTTCCCATCTGTGGTCCCATGATACTAGTCATTCATTTAAGGAGAAATGCAAGACTGTCCAATGTTAGAAATGAAGCTATGAACTGAATCCCTTCCCCATCTCACCAAGAAAGAAGGAGAACCTGTGACTTTGAAAAGAAGGTTGTAGAAGGCCCAATCAGCGACCCATCAATTTGTCAAGCCCCCCCCAAACCAGGCACCCCTGAATGCTAGCCCGTATAAAGGGCATCTCAGAAGGCTGAGGTAGGTGGGGTCAATGGGAGATAGGCACGTAGCAGGAGCTAGCACGGGAATCAGCCGGGGTGCCAAGAGGGATGTGTTTGTGGGCGGTTTGGGTGTTAGGGTGTGTGTGTGTGTGTGTGTGTGTGTGTGTGTGTGTGTGTGCGCGCGCGTGCGCGCGCACAAGAGAGAGAGAGAGAGAGAGAGAGAGAGAGAGAGAGAGAGAGAGAGAGAGAGAGGGCAGAAGATGATGAGCCTTGGGTAGTATGTGTGAGATTCAGTGGGGGCCGGTGTGAGCAAAGAAGGGCCTACCCCCTCAGGTTCTGTGCAGAGCTAGGTCCCTGTGCCACAGCTACCGTGTATGTGTGTGTGTGTGTTGCCGCCACACGCGGTGGCTGCCCCTAGGCGTAGGAGGAGATCTTATCAGCGCTAGGTGTGTGTGGAGTTTCAGGCTACCTCATCACCCCCCCATTTCTCCACCTCCCATTGGGCCTTGCCCCTCATCCTCTGTACAGGAAGTGGGCTCGCCCTGGGTTTCAGTCTGTTGTTGGCCTAGCTGCTGTCTGCTACCTAAGCTGCGGAGCAGGAGATGGCCGTGGACCCACTCTCCGGTAGGCCTGCAGGGAGCATACCACCTCAACTCCATGTTGCAGCCAGGTAATGTCTCTGTGTTGTCCTCTGGGAGCTCAGGGTACCCCACCACCTCTTGGTGGTCTTCCCTGGGGACATGAGGTTGGGGAGACACTCATCTCTGACTCAGTTCCCCCCATAGTTTCTGTCTGAGTTTTGATGTTCAACCTTGTCTTAGGATCCCCTGGGGATGGAGTAACTTGGCTGTTCTGGTTTCTCCTTAAGAATAAGCACTTTCCAATGTCAGTGGCTCCTTTCCAGCCTATACTGTGGGGGGTTGTGAGCCCCTTTGCTGTGAGGGATTACCCTGTGCTCCACGTGGTGATGTCTTAGCCCAGAGGGGTAGAGGATGAGCTAGACTCTGAGACGACAGAGTGTGGGGGACAGGTAGGATCCACCGCTGCTTCCTGTGGAGTGGGTCTCATACTGAGTACTCGTTAGGCAGCTAGGGAGGGAGAGAGGGAAGGAGAATCTTCCCTAGGACCTGGCTGTGAGCCGGCTCTGTTGATCAACATTATCTGAGGGCCTTAGGCTGGAGGCCAGAGGTAAGGCTCTAGCTTAGATATGCCTCTTAGTTTACTGAGTGGCTAGAGAAGCCAAGAGTGTCTCCAGACACTGGGACCTATCTCCGATGCTGCCTGAGGTAGGAACTTTCCACCGTTAGCTGTGTTTGTAGCACATAGGGGCCAAGGTGGGTAGCTGAGGAGGGCAGAGCTATCTTTGAAGGTTACCCTTCTTCCACAGAAAAAAGGTAAGCAGTGTGTGTACGTGTGTGTGTCTTTGGGGAGGTGGGCAGAGAAAGGACATCTGAGGTCAAAGGTCAGCAGGTCAGATATACAGTCTCCTGCTTCCCATCCTCCCTCAGCCGAGACCCTGGATCCCACAGACCTGTAGAGCCTCAGACTACCCCAGGCTGAGACTTGTTCCTTCCGTCCTGGGAAACAGCCTGATTTGGGGCCATGTAGAGAAAGAGCCATCATAGGACCTTCTCTTGTGCTGTGAGACCATGCTGTGACATGTGTGGGTTAGTCCGGGACAGGGATCATGACTGTCAGTCACCACTGACCCTGCTCTGTCACCGTCATCACTGTGACCCAGTTAGAACAGCCAGGGCCTGCCGAGGCCTTAGTGGTGACATATGAGTCAGGGGTGGGAGCGTCTGGTAGCTGTGAAGGGCATGCGTGGGTGAGCTTCAGGGGGAGAGTGCCTGAGACTCAGGTCTTGAGCTGTGCTTGCTCTGCCCGAGGCTGGCCTCATGCTGTGGAGTTTTGAGTGGCTTCCTCAGTCTCCCGGGGACTCCATTTCCTTCTTGTCGAAGAAGGGGGCCAGTACCACAACAGCATGGAGATACCCCGCCCCTATCCAGACGTTTCTAGAAACTGCTTCCATATTTTCTTCTGTCTTACACTGTCCATGATGGGTGGATATATTCCTGTGACTGATCAGCCAGCTTTGGGCTGGGGAGCGGGCATGAAAGCTTTATCCTAGGCCTGCTGTGCTTTGAACTGATTCTTGTGGTCTGGCCCCGACCTGCCTATGCTTTTGCCTCTTTCATCCCACTTCCTCTTGCCCAGGGTTATGTCCCAGGTGTCTTATAGCTTGAGGCTGTTCAGATGTCTGGGCCAAACCTGGGTGACTCCCTCATCAAAGCTTATAGGACTTCAGCTCATGGGAGGACGCCTTGCTTAGGTTCTTCAGGGACCTGGAAGGGCTTCCTTCTGACCCAACTACCTGCAGGGAGCTGATCCTCCGGGACAGGGAGGTCCCAAGTAGAACCCCAGCTCTGAAGACTTGACCCAGGGAGCCTCGGTCTTCACATCTGTGTAGCAAGGACACAGAATATCTGCTGAGCTGCCAGGCAGAAGAGAGTAGCTGAACGCCCGAAGGCCTTGGCACACGGCCTGGGCAGAGCTCACTGAACATCCCTGGCAAGCACTATCACCAGGCTGTCCAGCATTACTCGCTGCCCTGCAGATCCCTGAACACATGTGGTTCCTTCAGGGCACGACATTTATTGAGCACCTCCTGTGCAACAAGCTCACCATTTGGAGTGGGCATTCTGCCTTGCCAGTCTGGCAGCTGTAGTACCAGAGGGCTGGACAGCAACCCAAGGCAGGACATCCTTCCTTTACGGGGGAACCCGGTGAGCGCCGCAGAACTAGGAGGAAGGGGAATTTGAAAGGGACATTAAAGGGTATCAGAAGCCTTGGGGACACTGGAGAAAGGACAACCCCAGAAAGGCTCTCTGATGACCAGGCCAGAGAGAGTCCCCAGCTTGTGTAGCCTGCCAGAACAGCCTAGGGCAGGGCTAAGCCTTGCTTTGCAGGCTCCTCTTGGTGGCCCTGTGGCGTCTCCTCCTCTGAGCCCACCCTTCAGCTTTTATCCCATTGCATTAGTTCACGCCATGAAAGGTGAGGGCAGAGCATACAGGGTACCCCCGGAGCCCCATGGCTGGCCAGCAGCTGTCTGATATGTGAGAAGTACTACGTTGGTAACCAGAGGCCCAGGGATGAATAAAATCCAAAATGTGCCTTGTCCTCGCGGATTGTCTGCAACTCCTGTGCATGGGTGTGCATGTATGTGAGCGTGTGTGTGTGCACGTGTAAGCACGAAAACGGATGGGTAAACATGGCATTCCCCTTGTTTTCCACTGCAGTTTCTACGGTTTTAGTTACCTCCATCAACCGTGGTTGGAAAATATTAAACAGAAAATTCCGGAACGAAGCAATTCATTCATTTTTGAATTGAATAGTTGAATACTGTTCTAAGTCTTATGCGAAAGCCTTGAGCTTTCCTTCTCTCTCCAGCACGGGGCCTGAGCGATTCCTTTGCCCAGAATATCCATGATGTAGATTCTTTTCCATCCATTTGTCCCCTAGGGGGCTTGATTGTCCAATCCCCTGTGCAGAGCTCTCGGTCACCCCACCTCACCTGGTTACACCGGGTGGGCACCTGCTGGAGGGCACGTTGAGTCGGAGAGACCTCTTTCACACCGTGCTCAGGAGAGCCTGCTGACGTCCCTAGGAATCTTCTTGTACCGCTCACGCTGCCACCTATTTCTCATGGTGGCTCTGCAATGCATAGGACAAACATAGTGTGCGTAAGGGTCGGTTTGGTTCAGGATCCTTGGAGGTCCCCTCGAGGGGACAGATTTACTTACTACTGTCCACAAGCAAACAGACAATGCTGATGCAAAATGGAGCGATTACTGATTAGGATGGGAAGGAAGGGAGTGAGCTCCTGTGGTCAGAGGGCCTGGGGCTGGACTGCTCTGGCTCTGGCTGGGTGGAGAGCCAAGCGGGGTGTGGGTCCTGCCTTGTTCTCATTTGAATCTCTGGTCTCCTCCACTTAGGGCTTGTGTCCTCAGCTCCGCAGCTTGGATGTGATGGCTGCCACAGCTCTGTCCTGGTGTCTGTCCCTCTACATCCTCCTCTTGCCCTTGCCTGCCCCTTGGGTGTCTGCAGCAGTGAACGGTAAGGTCGCAGCATTTTGATGTCTTTGCTTTCCCTGGTGGGAGGCAGCATCCCAGACTCCTCCTTCAGAGAGGAGAGCCGATGAGAGCAGGAGGCAGGGGAGCAAGGATGAGGTGATGGGACCAGAGGGCAGGTGTCCACAGTCCGGTGGCCTGAATAGGCTTCTCCTAGGCACAAGGAGAGGCTGCCGATTGTCCCTGTTTAGCCATTCATTGGCTGCTGGTCCTTCTATCTCGGGAGCTCACTTTCCTTTCTTTGAAATGTGTCTGAATTGGGGGGGGGGGGGAGACAGGTGGCTCAGTTGGGTAAGGTGCCTGTCCTGCAAGCGTGAGAACTTGAGTCCACATTTACAACACTAACATAAAAACTATTCAGGAATGGGCTGGCAAGGTATCCCAGTGGGCAGCGCTTATCTCACAGACCTGATGATCTGAGTTCAGTCTCCCAGATCCCAGGGTGGAAGGAAACAGTCAATTCTCAAAAGCTGTCTTCTGGCCTCTACACACATGCCGTGGCATCCGTGCCATGTGCACCTACGCACAGGTGCACACACACATTCTAAGGGGAAAAAAAAAGCAAGGCATGGCAGTAAACACTTGCAATCCCGGTGATGAGGTGGAGACAGGAGGATTCCCGGGGCTTGATCCCCAGCCAGTCTAGCTGAATTGTCAAGCCAGGGTTTCAGTGAAAGACCCTCTCAAAGACCCAAGGAGGATGGTGCCTGGGGTTCCCTGGTTTCCACATGCATGTGCACAGCGCATGCAAGCACACACAGACACAACATGACACGAGCTAGAACCCTTTTCCTGCTTTTCTGAGTCACCTACCTCCCGGGGCAGGCACAGGGTGCTGGGAGCAAGGTAGTAGATGTGCCCAGAGGCCATGTGTGCCCTGCAGCCCGCCACTCACACCTCCTTTGCACACAGACTGTCCCCATCTTAAGTGCTTCTACGACTCAAGAGCCAATGTCTCCTGCACGTGGAGCCCGGAAGAGACCTTTCGGGTCACACACTGCCAACTCCAAGCCAAGTCGGACATACGGTGAGTGTGACCTGTCACAGGGCAGAACCTCAGGGCTGTGCGAGCTCTAAGCTGTAGAATCCTGAGCCTGAGATTCACAGTAGTTAGCATCAGGCTCAGCCACTTGGTTGTCTGGGCTCAGGCAAGTGGGTGGGATCCAGGCTCTCCTTGAAAACTGGAGAGGTCCTGGGCCAGGTTGTTTGGGGACAATCAGTGAGAGCCTTTGATGCCACGCCATGTCAGAGGCAAACAGGGTGGGCACTTGGTGCTTCCTAAGTTGTTTGAGTAATCTGGTATTTTGGGAGAGCCCTCAGGCAATTGTGGGACCAGGGACCATTGCCTGGGGGTGGTGTTGTCCTGTAGGGACGGGGATATCTGGCAAGCCACAGGCTTCTTTAGGCTGAATTTAACTGCTTAGAACTTGGGGAACTCTTGAAATGGGGGTGAGGCCTGAGCTGATTTGTGTTCTTTGGTCACCCTGGCTGCTGGGAGGCAATGATGGGTGTTGGGGTGGTGAAGACAGGGGAAGAACTGGGGGGGGGGGCAGCTGGCTCCTTGCCCACTGTACTGCTGTCCCTAGGTCCTAGTACAGCAGCTGAGGGTGGTACTGGGAAAAGGGTCTCTGGGTAGCTCTTTAGTCCTGCCTTGCTTTCTAAGGTGTCTTTTCTGTTTTGCAAGGTCCTGGAACACAACCTGTAATCTATTTCCTGTGACACAGGCGTCCTGGGCCTGCAACCTGATCCTTGGACGCCCAGATGTAAGTAGCATGGGCTGTGTGAGTGTGTGTGCGTGAGTGTGTGCACGTGAGTGTGTGTGTGTGTGTGAGTGTGTGTGTGTGTATGGTCAAGTCCTTTCAGCTGTAAGTAGCATGGGCATTTTTGTGTTTGTGTGGGTGTGTGTGTGTGTGGGTGTGGGTGTGGTCGAGTCCTTTCAGCTGTAAGTAGCATGGGCATTTTTGTGTTTGTGTGTGTGTGTGTGTGGGTGTGGGTGTGGTCGAGTCCTTTCAGCTGTAAGTAGCATGGGCATTTTTGTGTTTGTGTGTGTGTGTGTGGGTGTGGGTGTGGGTGTGGTCGAGTCCTTTCAGCTGTGGGCTGAGTTCTCAGAGTGGTCCTGGGCTTCTGCAAGCATCAGTCTGGTGATGGAGAGCAGGTTACATGCACTGAGAAGGAAGGATAGAAGGTGGGGTATTGGGCCTGCAACCTTGTTGCCCCCACACAGATGCTTGGTCCTCCACTCCCTACTGTGGGTCAGGCCTCCCTTCTGTGTCCTGCTAATGATGACCATCATACCAGACTCTGGCTGAGGCCTCAGCATCTTGGCTCTTGCTAAAGTTGGTCATCTCGGCCATGCCGCTGCCTCAGAACAGCTCTCTGACTCCATGCAACTTCAGTGCCTCAGTTTCCCCTCTCATAAAATAGAAAAGAAAATGGAAGCGCCCTCAAAGGGTCATTCTGGTTCAGAGCAGATATGGAGAGTCAGAAATAGATCCCCACAATTTTGTCTTCTTACCAAGGAAGCATCTAAGACCGAGAGATGTGGTGTCTGCTGAAGGTCACCCAGCCACAGTCAACTGAGCTGGGATTGACCCCAGTTCTGTGGGCTCCTGCTGACTTTTCCACATCTCCCATCTCTTGTTGGGCCGGGTCTAGACCAGGTGGATGGAACTTAAAATTTTCCTCAGATCCTTTGAAGAAAGGGGCAAGGCAGGGGCAAGATAAGGGTAAGGGTCTACCCCGAGGAGCCCAGGCTGTGCTGCCCAGGCTGTGACAAGTTTCACACATTCTCAGAGGAAGGGGAGGGGAGGATGGTGTATATCACAGCTGGTGAATCTCCAGCTATGCCAGCATGGGGGCTTTGCAGGGACCTACAATCCAGCCTGGCCCTACCTGTGTGACCTTTGGCAAGTCCCTAACCCTCTCTGTGTTTCAGAGTGCTGGGCTAACTGATGGGAATAGTGATAGTGTAAGTCTGTCTCAGAGGGTAGTGAGAGGTAATTTATGCAAAGAAGAGGGGACAGAAGTCCCCAGCAGCCTGGTACTGGCGATACCTTCAGGACAACCACAGCAAAAATAACCGAGCCATGCTATTATTATGTGGGTGAACTGGAACTGGTAGCAGCTGTGGGAGACGCAGGCAGAGCCCTCAGTGAAGGGGTTGGGAGCAGTTCCTGGTTGGTTGGTCAGGGTACTCTGATGGCCAAGTTCAAAGTTTGGGTAGGATGGAGGAGTTAGGCCTCAAGGTTTGGACTGCAAACCACGACCCAGTCCCAGAGCATAGGTCGTACCGTGTCCTACCTCTGGGCCTTCTCCTGCGCCCTCCTGTCTACACGGGTGTCTGTGGCACGGGGGGCCACGTCACTCATTTTCTGTGCTCTGGTCATTCTGGGAAGCTGTGACTGTAATGGCCTCATGCGAACCCCACTTCCTGCTGTTAAGCTGAGTGGTCTGAGCATCCCTTACCTCAGGCTTCTAGAGTAGCATGGGAGGGACCACTGAGCTCATCAGCAAGATGTGAGCTGAGCAGTAGCTGCCTGGGACACACTCAGTACCTAACCGTTTCCTTCCGGAAGAGTCAGGGGTTAAGGCTATCCCATAGGTCCAGTTCTGCCTTCTCTGGGGATGACCTTTTGGCAGTGGAGCTATTTGCATACCTCTTGTGATGGGGAACTTCCTCTCAACCCTGGTGGCCTACTTTTGTTTATATCAGGGATTAGTGGATGAACATGCTCGCCATGCCAAACCCGGCGGCTGCCTGTGGTTGTAAATAAAGCGTTACTGGAATGTGGTCCCGATAGCAATTCATTTGCTGTCTCTGTAGTTCTTCTGAGACCATAGCAGAGTTGAGTTGTGACAGAGGCCATGTGGCCTGTGCAACCTGGCTGGCTGTAGACAATATTTGCTGTCCCCTGCCTTAGAAGGCTAGTAGAGGTGAGGTGTATCCTTGCCTAGACATTTTCATGGCCCCTTCTTCTCAATGGCTTCTGGCAGTCACACCTCTCCCGGTCCTCCCTTGTAGTCCCAGTGTCTGAACGCTGTGGATATCCTCAACGTAAATGTGATGTGTTGGGAAAGAGACAACTGGCGCAGGGTGAAGACCTGCAGCTTCCGTCCCTTTCACAAGCGTGAGTACAGAGTCCGGGTTTGTGGGTCCCATCTCTCCTGGTAATCATCAGCCTCTGAGCCCTCCTCAAACCTGCCCTCTCGCCTACCTGGAAAGCTCCCCATCCCAACCCTCTCCTCTTCACCCTACCCCACCTGGAAGATCCCCATTCACCCTTCAGCCCCCACCTAGTTGTGAGTCTGTCTCCCTTGCTGGTCCGGGAACTCCCTGAGGGCTGACCCTGCAGCTCCTCTCTGAGCACTCGACTCCAGACCCGAGCTTGCTTGAAGAAGGCTTGTTGAATGACTGAGTGACCTTGGAGGCCGCCTCTAGAGAAAAGAAGGGGTACAGGGGCGATCCATGCGGAATCCAAATTGCAGCCTTGTCTTGACTCAGTCCAGCTGGCAGAGGTCATTGAACATGTTGGGCCTTAGTTTTGTTCTCTATAAAGTGGGAGAATTGAGGTCCTCATGATAGGAAGGAATGTGAGCTAGGATGCATAAACTGCTCAGCACCTCGGCGTGGGAAAAGACTTGCATTTTGTGGGTAGACAGAATCTCAGAGTTACAGATTTAGAGCAGTTTGGTTCAGGAAAAAGGAAGTAAATATCACACTTAAAATCCACACAGGCTGGGCGTGTGGCTAGAACACTTGCCAAGCTTGTGCCAACACACTCTCACTAATATTAATAGACAAATATATTGAATAAATGAATAAATGTATACATATAGTGTAACTGAGAAATAAATCAGGCATGTTTATGATTTATATTTGTATTTAATAAGTATACCTGTGGAATACACAGATATAAATTTATATTAAATGCTATGCAATTAAGTTATATATTTATAATTACTTACATTTATGTTTTATACTATATAAATGTATTCATATGAACACAAATGCATCAATAATATAGATACTTGGATAAAATAAAGTACATGATCTGATTCCTGTACAGATCTCAGATCAGTATTCAAGCAGGGCAAGGCTGCTTGCCAATCACTCAACAGCTGGTTAGTCATCCTGGAAAGTGCCTCAGGAACCAAAGGTTCATCAGACATCCCAGACCCTGACTCAGGCAACCCCGGAGCGGGTAGGCACAAAAGGAGGAAGATCCCAGATAGACTCATTCTGTCAGGTGTAGGCGGACTAACAAGAGGAGGGTTGCAAAACTGAGGAGAAGCAGGTGCAGAGAAAGAGCAGGTGCAGAGGAGGAGGAGAAGCAGGTGCAGAGGAAGAGCAGGGGCAGGAAAGAGCAGGTGCAGAGGTGGATGAGAAGCAGGTGCATAAGAAGAACAGGTGCAGAGGAGGATGAGAAGCAGGTGTAGAGGAAGAGCAGGGGCAGGAAAGAGCAGGTGCAGAGGTGGATGAGAAGCAGGTGCATAAGAAGAACAGGTGCAGAGGAGGATGAGAAGCAGGTGTAGAGGAAGAGCAGGTGCAGAGGTGGATGAGAAGCAGGTACAGAGGAAGAGCAGGTGCAGGGAAGAGCAGGTGCAGAGGTGGATGAGAAGCAGGTGCAGAAGAGGAAAAGCAGGTGCAGAGGAAGAGTCAGGGCAGTTGCTGAGGAAGAGTCGGCGCTGGGGATGTTGTATGGTGCAAACTGGGCTAATGTTCTTGGCATCTTACTGATTGGTCCATGATATCTGTTCCCTCCTCTGTCTGCAGTTCGCCTGCGGGCCCCTCATTCACTCCAAGTCCTGCACATTGAAACCCAGAGATGCAACATAAGCTGGGAGGTCTCCCAGGTCTCTCACTACCTTTATAGTGATTTGGAATTTGAGGCCCGCAAACGTTCCCTGGACCACAGCTGGAAGGTGAGGACATAGCCATTCTCCTGCCTCTGGTGCATGCCCTTGTCCATTTCTACATGCTGGAGTGTGGCTCTTTCACCCTGGTCCTCCTATATTGCTTGGCACTGCCTGCTCCTCCCATACTCTTAGAGCCTGAGGATGCATCTGGATCCACATCTGTGTAGACCCCAGGGCAAGGCAACCTGTGAGGCTCCGCAGCTATTTTCCACATCCCAAATCCAGCACATTCTCTGGCTTCAGGGGGCCAAAGAACAGTGGACTGAGACTCATTACCCACACACTCATTCCCATACTTACCTGGGGACCCCTGGATTCAGGGTCAAAGCAGCTGGGAGAACAGGGAGCTTTTGGGAGGGCCAGAGAGAGGTTGCTTGCTTAGCCTCTTGACCTGGTTGTGGGAGATGAGACCAGTGGAGACCTTGCTGAGTGGGTACCCATCTCTGCTTAGGATGCACCCCTGCTAAGCCTCAAGCAGCGACAACAGTGGATCTGCTTGGAGACACTTACCCCTGGCACCTCATATGAGCTCCAGGTGCGGGTCAGGGCCAATCGAGATGTCCAGGGGACCTGGAGCCCCTGGAGCCAGCCCCTGGCTTTCCGGACAAGGCCAGCAGGTACAGTGGGGAGCGTGGAGGGAGCTGGGAAAGGGCCAGGGTGCCCTGGGAGCTGCAGAGGTGGGGGCTGGGCCTCCCATAGACTCACCAGAGACAGGGCTACACACTGGTGGGGGACCCATGAGGGCCCATCCTTCAACATGTCACTTGCTGCATTCAAGAGATACAGAAGCTCTAGGTGTGATTCTCCACAGTAGCCTCAGTGGCTGAGGTGAGAGCCAGGCAGTACATCCATGGGCTCTGCTGGGAATGCCACCAGGCCATGGCTTTTAAGTGCAGTCTACCTTTCTGGACAGGTGGACTTAAGCAGGACTGAGGACCAAGTCCCCAGTAAAAGCAAACCTGGCTAGATACTGTCAGGGTGCAACATTGGGGGGTGTGGATCTGGGATTCAGGTAACCTCCTGAGGGGCCACCTCTCACCTCCCATTTCTTACAACCTGGACAGATCCCGGGAATCTACCCCTAATGTGGCCCAGACAACTTCTCCTGGGCCTTGGTTGTCTTTTTGGCTTCATGGTCTGTGTCTACGTTTTGTTCAAGTGCCAGTACCTAGGCCCATGGTAAGGAAGTTCCTTGTCCAGTATTCCCTTCCCAGCTCGTCTCTATGTCTCTGTGCCACACATCTTTCCAGGCTGGGCTGGGCTGAATCCTGCTTCCTCACACCTGGCCTCTCTGTCCGCTCCCCTAATAGCTAACTTGTCCCTGCGCCCCATCCCCAAAGGTGGAAGCTGGTAGGGGAAGGGGCGGTAGAACAGCAGCAGGGAGAACCCCTTGGCCCTCCCTAAAGTCACAGGGGCCTCTGAGCATCTTTCCCATTGCTCTTGGTCCCCTGCTATGCATTCCAATCATGCCACACTCTTGCCTAACTGTCCTTAGAGATCCCCCCACCTAACCAATAATATATCCGGATTGCCCAGGGCCTCCACTAGAAACTGTGCCAATCAAAAAGTGGCTCCCCTTGTCCCAGTTAGATACGCTTGTGTTCTGGGCATCTTAGCGAGTAGAACATGAGGGAGAGTTCAGCTTCCACTCACTGTCTCCCTAAGGCCAGCTGCTGTTATACAATGTGTGGTGGGCACCACCATCCATGGGAGTGCTCACTAGGAAGCCTCACTCCTGCCTCCCTCTCCAGCCTGTGTGATCCCTCCCACTCAAGGGCCATCTTTTGGCTAGTACTCAGTTCCGGGTCCACAGAGTGAGCCACCTTGTTACACATTTGGTTCAGGTCTGTCTTGCCAGTGTGCCAGCTCCTAGGGAGTAGAGGCCTTCTCTGCTGCCCACGCTTGTGTCCCCAGTACCCGGTGCAGTGCTCTCCCGTCAACACTGTTGAATAAATGACTGGATGCGGGAGGGGCCGTCCCCTACTCTCAGGGCTGGGGAGCTGGTGGTAGGACACCATGCCACCCCCTCCTTGTCCTCACCCTTCCCCCTTCTCCTCTTCCCTGGCCTTGCCCTTCACCCCTCCTCTTTCCTGGCCAGGCTGAAGACTGTTCTCAAGTGCCACGTCCCAGACCCCTCTGAGTTCTTCTCCCAGCTGAGCTCCCAGCACGGAGGAGACCTTCAGGTAGGAGCCTGGGGGGCAGGGGTGGGGGTGTTGATAGGCAGCCTAAGGATAGGCTGCAGGGCAGAGATGTGATCAGGTGACAATGGCTTTGCCTTCAGCAAGAGGACACAGAGTGCTGAAGTGAGCAGTCTCTTTCATGGGCACAGCTCTGCCCCTGCTCTGGCATGGGTGCCTTCTAAGCTACGCAGCCTTGACTTGAACTCTGGCTCTGCCATGCCTGTCTGTGTACAGTTGGGCAAGTTATAGATTCTCCCAGTGTCTCAGTTTCCTCACTTGTACAATTGGGGGAAAAACTAAGCTTAATGAGTGTACAGCCCGGTGGATGTTGCCAGGCACAGTGTGGGTGCTGGAGAGCTGCAGGGGCTCCCCTTGGCTTCTGTCCCTGTGGGCAGAGCGATCCCTGGCAGGCCCAGTGATGTCACGGTGACACAAGTCCTCAGATCACCTGGAATCACAAAAAAAAGTGTGGCCCCTACAGTAGCAACCTCACTCCTAGTCTATCTACTTCAGGCTAGAAGCTTTGAGAAGCAAGGGGTGGATACAGGGTGAGGGGAATCTACTGTTACCCCCTCCAGCTTGACTGGTGTTCCCATGATTGGGAAGCTTGTGGGGGGCAAAGGGGCTTGAGGATAATGGGAGGGAGGTCTAGGCTGGGCTCTAGTCCTGCTGGCCTGGTCTTGTGTGCCTCATTAGGGATGAGCAGGGTCCTTCTAGAATCTCTGAGAGACTCCCAGAACTAAGGATGTCTTTTTATCGTACTCTTGGTGTGTGTGTGTGTGTGTGTGTGTGTGCACGTGCACATGCATGAGTGCATGTGTGTGTGTGTGCGCATGCACATGCGTGAGTACAGGTATGTGTGTGCATGTGTGAGTACGTGCACGTACATGCATACCTAGTACTATGGCTGTGTTCATCTAGCATGTGGCCTAGGCTGATGCTTCTAGGTCAGAGGTGGGGTGGAGGCTGGATGCCTCTGGAGGATGGAAAGCAGGAGGAAGGGAAAAAGAAGGAAGAGTTGAGTTCAGTGGTGGAGTAGGAGGTAGAGCAACCCACTCACTCTCCTCCCTTTCTCTGGCAGAAATGGCTCTCCTCGCCCTTCCCCTCATCCTCCTTCAGCCCCAGTGGCCCTGCACCTGAGATCTCTCCACTGGAGGTGCTGGACGGAGACAGCAAAGCCATGCAGCTGTTCCTGCTACAGCAGGACACAGCCTCCTCACCCTCGCCCAGCGGCCACTCGCAGGCCAGCTGCTTCACCAACCAAGGCTACTTCTTCTTCCATCTGCCCAATGCCTTGGAGATTGAATCCTGCCAGGTGTACTTCACCTATGACCCCTGCGTGGAAGAGGACATGGAGGACGATGGGCCAGGGCTGCCCCAGGGATCTCCCCTCCCATCTGTGCTTCCTCTGGCTGGGGATGAGGACGACTACTGTGACTTCCCACCCAGGGATGACCTGTTGCTCTTCTCCCCCAGCCGGAGCTCCCCCAACACTGCCTTTGGGGGAGCAGCAGCTCTTGAAGAAAAGCCTCCCCTCTCCATGCAGGAGGGATGTACCCCGCTACCATCCCCTGATCTGATGGGTTTGCAGTGCCCTCTGGAGCTGGTGGCGCAGGGAGGTGACGGGGAGGGGCTGCCTGCTCATAGCTCAGGGGAGCAAGCCGGTGTCCCCGAAGGTAGCCCTTGTGGGCAAGGTCAGGACAGGGCCCTGGCCTCTGTCTTGCCTCTGAACACTGATGCCTATCTGTCTCTTCAAGAACTACAGGCCCAAGATCCAGCCTACCTGGTATAGCCAGCTGACCAGGATTTGGGATCCAGCTGCCTAGGTCAGATAAGGCTTAGGGGGGACCAGTTGAGAACTGTCCCTGGTCATCCACACCCCAACACTTAGTCATCCACGTCTGAGCTCTACTTGCTGCTCTATGGTCCAGCCAGGATCTGAGGTGGGGAGGGCTGGTCAGCTCTGCCTCCCTGTGTAGTCATGAGGTCACTAGCTTCCTGGACCTGCCTTACTCCTTCTTGCTTACAGGGCAGCCAGGACCTGCTTCCCCCCAATACAAATGTGCCCATGTTCTTCTCCTATCCTTGAGCTTGCTGTGGCTTTGTCCCTTTCAGCGCTGCTGTGGGACAGCTGTCCTCAGGGTGTGATGTCTTAGTCAGAGCAGCTGTGTCCACCCAAACTAAGAGCTCCTGATAAGATCGGACACAGCCTGTTGACCTCACAGAAGGAGGGGGTGGGAAGGATCATCTGACTGTCACCGGAGATCACAGCCACTCTCCTGCACCCCCATTCCCAGCTATGGGTAATTCTGCCCCTGGTGCCTGTGTTTTTTGGAAGATGCTGGCATTTGCAAGGGGGAAGGTTTGATGTAACTATGGGAACATCATCACCTATTCTGGGTCTGGATTTTCTGTGATACAGCTGTTTTGGAATCACCTATCCTCCTGTAAGTAAGCCTAGAAGACTCAGTGGTTCACCAAGCTGGCCTTGAGTGGATTTGTGCCTTCGACACCATCTCTGGGAGAAGTACATATTTGCTCACGTATCTCCCTCCCTGCAAAAAGCTTACACAACATGCATTGTGTGTCAGCACGATCCTTTGTGGAAACCTCACGAGGATCCCATGGGGTCTCCTGGAGTCCCCCTTTGACTCCTATTCAGGCATTATTTGTTGTGCCTCACTTAGGTGGCAAACATCCCTCATCTTCACCTGTAAGTCCATGCTGCTAAGGGCGGTGCTGCTTCCTGAACGCGTTCAAATTTCCCCAGTTCGTACTAGAAGGAGATGATGCAGACAGCTCCTGACCCATCTTCCTTCTCCGGAGCTATTGCCTGACTTCCCAATGATAGGCTCAGTGTGGACACAATTACCAACACAGCAGTGGCTTCTGGATCTTTCCATGCCCACCTCACCAGTTTGCGAGGGAGCCTACTGGACTGCGAGCCCCAGGTTCCAGCGGTCCAGGCAAGGATGGCACGCCTGGATGTACCATCTCACCCTCAGAGGAGAGCATTGTTCTCTACAGGCAGCTCCTCCAGCACAGAGCCTCAGTGTCTGTCACTGTCCCAGGGTTGATGGCACCATGGTGATCAGATCCCACCTGCTGAGGGAAGCAGAAACTCATTCCTAGCTAGTGGATGCCCTACCCACATTGCCTGCCTCATGGTTCCTGCTCACTAAGCATTGGCTGGCTGGCCAGACCACAGGTTGATGGGCAGCCTGGGCACAGAAGATCTGTCACAGAGGCTGGGCCTGATCCAACCAATCAGATTATCTCTCAATCGGATGTCCTGGCCCCTAATACAAGGCCCCTAAGCTTAGCAAGAAGAGATGAGCCAATGCAGGTGTTCAGTTTTCATGCAAGAGTTTTCCGGCCTTCCAGGGGTCAGACGTCCTGCTGCTTCTGTGTGAGACTCCACATATCCCCTCCTGCCACAGGATGCTGTGTGTGACCATCCTCCTGTCTCAACGATGAATCAGACCTGTGCTTGTGCCCACACCAATGACTGCGTGTCCCGAGAAAACGTAAACCTTTGGAATTCTCTTGCTTTAGCTCCCACACAGAAATAGAACTTATTTCCACTGTCTGAAAAGGTCTGGGGAAGATTTGGTTCTTCCTCTTTTAATGATCTGTGTGTGGCATCTTTGCCATGAATTCCTGAGACGTTTTAAAATGCATTCATTTTGTTTGTTTGCTTTATCACATTTATTTAAAGATTTTTTTTTATCATATCACGTCTATGGCTGGAAAAATCTTCTTATAAATAAAAGGCGATTGTAAAAAGCAGGTACCATAAAACTGCGTAATGTGTGGATCTGATCAGGGTGTGGAGCCTAGTGGCAGAGAACCGCCTTGCTGGTTCCATCCCTGGTGCTGCAAGAGAAAGAGGAAAGGGATGGTATTTATTTCATTGCTGTTGGAAGTCTGTCATCTCAACCCAGATGCTGCTGGAGACACAGGGAAAACTCTGTGAACAAAGTGTGGTTGTTGAGAACATCTTTGTCACTGATAGGAATCAGGTCTCTGTGCACAAATATGCACCAGCTTCTCACATCCAGCCTTGGGCAAGGGTTCCAACGGATCATGGATAGATCTAGCATCCATTTATCTATCTGCTTCTTTCTGTCTCTCTCTCTGTGTCTGTGTGTCTGGCTATGTTAATAATCACTTTTCAAGTATTAGGACTTTTGCAGTGTCTTGACAAACAATAGTTGGCAATCTCTAGCGTCCATGAAGCTGCACACGTGGCAGACATTGCTAATTGATTATACTTACGCATGACAGACATTGCTAATCAATTGCACCTATATTGATTATACTTATGCATGGCAGACATTGCTAATCAACTGCACCTATATTGATTATACTTATGCATGGCAGACACTGCCAGTCAATTGCACCTATACATGGCAGATATTTCTAATCAATCGCATCTCTACAGGGCAGACATTGCTAACCAGTTACACCTGTGCATGGCAGACATTAATACTTAATCACAGCCTTTCTTCCACCAGAGGCTGCATGCAGCTTTTAGATTCTGCAGGTCTGTTTCTGAGGCTGGCCCAAATGATGAGAACAGGCACCTAGTGACATGTCTGGGTTCCACTGCCTGTTTCCTTTTACAAAGTGAGCTCTTTGCTTTCCCTGGCTGACTCTCCGGGCAGGGAGAGCAGATGCTGAGGTGAGGCAGCCCTGAAAGCTGAGAGGGCGATGAAGGTGCAAGGGGCCCAGAAGCCCAGCTGTTCCCGTGTCTGGTGAGAGACCCGTGCTGGCGCTGGGTAGAGAAAGGAGCCACCATATGCCAGGTGGAGATGGAACCATGAGCCAGCGCCACTGCGTGTCCTAGGGAGATCTTGGGAGAGGGGCCAGGAGGGAGCAGCTGGCAGGGTAGTGCAGGGAAGGGGGTGCCAGGATTGATTCCCAGGGTCAGATTTCAGGGGAAAGGCACCAGCTGGAGAGCAGGTACCCCCACCCAGGCTCTGGAGAGCCTCGAGTGCAGAGTGGGAGCAGGAAGCAGCTGGGAGCACCTAGGGGCTCAGGGAAGGGGAGGAGGGGAGGAGCTCCAGGCTTCTCCTGTGTTCTTGTTAGCCTGGTCTATACCTTCATTACCCAGGTCGCATCTCTGATCTAAGCAACTTCCAGTGCCCAAGTTTTCAGGTGAATTATGGTAGGAATAGTTTGTTCAAGTCAAAGACAAAAATCCCACCCTTCCTTCCTCATTGTGTTGCTCAGCAGAGGAAACCCCTGGAAAGCGAAAGCAAAACCAAAACACCAAAGCTTGTTAGAGGCAGGTGCTGTGGCTCAAGCCCGAACCCCAGCACAGGGGTCCTGAGGCAGGGGGCTCTCAGGTTTGAAGGTAGCCTGGTTCATATAGTGAGTTCCAGGTCAGTCTGAACTACAGGACAAGACCCTGTTCCAAAATAAACAAATAAATTTGAATAAATAAATTTGAATGAATAAATAAATTTGATTGAATAAATAAATAAATAAATGCAAACCAGTCAGTTCTTTCTGCTTCCACCAAAGAAACATTTTGCCTCTTATGGCTTTGAGAGGTGGGCCTTGTTTCCCATTTTGCAGATGGGGAAACCGAGACAAACAGGAACATAACTGATTTCCATTGTCACGTGCTGATCTCTGAGGCTGAAACAGCCCTATACTCAAGCAATCCACTCACAGACTCCTACGGATCCCTCAGAACCCCATTGAGAATTCCCGTTTCTGGGAGGCCCTCTTGAGTTGAGGCGATTCGTCTGGAGACTCTGCTCTAAGCATTGTGTTGTTGAAGTGCTCCAGCCTCACTTCTGTGCCCTGTGGTGCTGATGTTGTTGTTTTCATCCCTTTTTACAGATGAGGTCTGAACTCAGAGTGATCTGATGGCTCCCTCCGGCTCACACAGCTAGAACACTGCAGAGAAAGGGTATGAACCGGGGTGACCCGTGACACTGCCACCGGCCCAGATTGTCAACGCTCTTTAAAGCAGGTGCCAACGAGTATCTCAGGACATCTGGCAAGAACCTGAGGCAAGAGTGACAGCGCCTGCGACCCAAGGGGATGCTGCCACACGCCCTGCCACAGAGAGTTTAGTAAGACGGGAGGGTGTGGATGAAACTTAAGTTCACTAGAGGCTCTGAGCCTGACCCCATGTCAGCCCTGGGACAGCCCCTCTGCTGACATTTTCCGACCCCAGGGACGTGACACACCCACTAGGGACCTTGAGAAAGCAAAGCAGGAAGTGGGCCTGCTTGAGACCTGGGGCACAGGGTGCCAGGAGGCACCCTTGATTCCAGGAAACCAGGGTGCTGAGGAGAGAGAGCAGCTGGTGGAGAGACCAGCTTCTCCACCCCTCTGCGTACCCGGCCTCATGCAATATGTATGCAATAGGCGCTGGCCTCATGTGGGCATGCACATAGGCAAGCAGTTGTAGGTGCACAATAGGTGCTGTGCCTGGGGCTGGAGTGTCTGCAGAGACCTCAGCCTCGTGAGGAAGGAGTGACCATGGAGAGTGCAGACAAGTTGTCAACACTCACGAGACTGTCCCCACACCTGGCTCAAGACCTCATCAAGGAAGCAGACTGCTCAAGAAGGAGGGAAGATGTTGAGGGGACGTGCCTTCGAGGGCGTTCAACTCAAGCTCAGTGAGACTTGGAAGCACCTGATGGACAGAAATAACAAAGCTGTCCATCTGTGCATTCAACACTCCTTTTTGAAGGCTGGTGATGTGCAAGGCGGATGCAGGATGACAAAGGAAAGGAAGACCACTGCCACTTACCACTGCAGCCCTCGATGGCTGGGGCAGGGAGAAAGAATGGTCCCAGCCTTCTGGATCTGGGTAGCCTGTGCAATGTTCTGGCTCTGCCACTTGCCGGCTGTGACCTTAGATGGGTACCAAAGCTTCTCTGTGCTTCTGTTTCTTTATCCTGGCGACCCCAGGGCTGTCAGGAGTATAACCTAAGTGCATGTACTTAGAAGATTGCTAAGGATGGGTCATGGGTGGGGACAGAACTGTGACAAGGTGTTCCGGGATGGTGAGTGTGGAAGACCCCCAACTCACTGCTTGCTGCTGGGGCTCTTGTCTGCCTTGCAGCCCACAGGGGCTCTGGTGGCCCTTCCTAGGCTCTTACTCCTTTGTATGTCTGCCCCAAGTATCCCGACCATGGAGTTATTCCTAGGAGGTATGACGAATACTGAAGCTGAGGCCATCTCTTCCTCCCCCCAGTCTGTCATCTTAGCTGCCACCAGCCTTACTCAGGGCCACTGTGTCCCTGTCAGGTTTGTCCCACCAGGCCTCTTAGACTCTCAGTTTTCTTGTCTATGATGTGGAGTGAGGGAGGCAGAAAGGAGATTCTGTTTATCTTCTATATTTCTGGTGGCCCTGAAGGCTGGTCTACTGCCTGAGAAGGAGATGGAGGCCCTGCCTTCATCAGCCCCCTCCCTATTTTCTAAAACAGTCCTCCCATATTGCTCCCTGCTCAACATTCCGTGTCCAGGGGAATTAGAGACAATGGCTGTGTTTGGGGGCCCACATGAGGCCAACTTGCCGCACAGTTATTTATCAGTGCGGTTACTGAGCTCCTGCCGTGAGAGTCTGACCTTTAAGTGGTGAGATTCAAAGGAGCTAGGCTGCCAGGAGACAACCTTGGTGGTGGTGGACTCCAGCGATTGGGTGAGCGTCCCTGCCTGATGGCTCCTGACATCTGCTCCGGCATGGGACAGAGCAAGTCGCCAGGAGCAGAGTCAGCTGACTGGAAAGAAAATTCCCTCACTGTGATAGTGATGCTTGTGCAGCTGGGATCTCACACGTGGATGCTGATGGAGACCGGGGAGAGGAGACAACAACACTAGGGCTCAGCATGATGACAGTGAGGTGTAACCGCCACTTAGAACGTGCTGGCACTGTTCCGAGGTCTTCCCAATACCAACCGGCTTCGGGTTATTGTGCCGCATCTATAGAAAAAAACAATTGCGGGAACAGAAGAGGGCACGTGGCTAATAGAAGGTGGGGCCTCCTTGGAGATTGTGAGTGTTGATGACCTTGACCAGACCACCTAGAGGAAGGACCCAAGCCTGGGGCTAAATGGTCTTTAGCACGTCTCTGGCTGCAGATTTTATTATTTATTTATTGACATGGTTTCTCTGTGTAGTCCTGACCATCGGAGAACTCACTGTGTAGACCAGGCTGTGTAGATCCGCCTGCCTGTGCCTCCTGAGTGTTGAGATTAAAGGGGCATGTGCCACCACCGCCCGGGCCTTGGCTGCAGCTTTTAAAGATCAACAAAAAGAAATGTTGACTTTTGAACCCTGATCCCTTGGACATTCTGAACTCCCTGCCTGAGGTCTGTGTACCAAGTTCTGTAGCCGTCAGAACCAGGAAGAGACAGTAGGGATACACCCCCACCCTGGGCCTGCAGTGGCCCTATGGGAGACTTCTGGCCTTTAGAACGGAGACAGAACTTGTTACTGTTATTTTAAGCCATTCTTCACAGCCCTATGTCTCAGCTCCATCTTCCCAGATAGTGTCTGGCCAGGGCCCTGGGTCCCTCTCCTACCTTCACCACAGAGGGTTCTAGAAAGGCTCAGCTCATTAAGGAATCTTCTCCCTGCCCACTTCAGAGTATGGGGTGTCTAACAACCCAAGGTATGGATATGTCTGCCAACAGTGTACCTATGCAGAAACTGTGAGTGAGATCCTACTAGGAAATGTAGGCACATGTAAGTGAAGATGTCATTGTCATCTGGGTGTGCTCCCTTTGCTCTACCCAGAGAGGAATCATGGGTAGGTAAGATGTTCATGGTACTGGCTGTTCTGGGCCCTGGAGTGCTCAAGACTTACATACTAGACTGACGGACCTAGAGACTTACAGTTGCGGGCCCTGAGTGCGAGGGACCTATGGCTCTAGGCTTTGGGAACTCGACACTCAGGTTTGAGGCTTATTACTCTGGGCTTTAACCACCCTAGCACTTGGAAGCTATTGTAACCCTTAGCTTTCAGCAACACTGAATGGCAACAGAAAGCAGCAGGTGGTATGCTTTCTGTTACTGATCTTTTACAGGCTTCAGGCACCAGGACCCTCCACCCTGTCGTAATGACGTTATAGCCCAGAGTGCGAGGCTTCTCAGCCATGACAACTGGCCTGCATTAAGATGTTTGTCCATATCCTGGGCAGCTCCCTTGAGCTTTCCCAACGATCAGGACTTGCAGTTTCTCATCTTCAGCTCTTGACATTCCTCATGGACTCCACCGCCCTTGTTCCCTGTCATTCCTGCCCCAACCCTTCTCGAGAACTCCTCAGCTCTCCTCTGCCTGTTCTTGCCACGGCTGTTGCTTGCTCGGCTGTCCCTCAGCTACTGCCTTTGTGGCTGCTGTCCCGGTGTCCTCTTCATGTTCCCAGATGATTCTATTAACTGATAAGGCTCAAAAATAGACTTCCAAAGAAGTTTCTTATTGGATTAACTGTTACAAAACCATGGGCCGCACAGAAGGAACAAAGGACTTTCTTGGTACTGAACACAGGCTCTCTGCTGCACCAAAATGTTAGCCCTCTGGCCTGGGTGAAATGCCTGCAGGGTCATCTGGAGTTCACCAAGTCCTGCACAAACTGTTCGGCCCAGCCATAGCCGAAACAGTGCCTTCTGGGGCTGGCGTTACCCTTCGTTAGCACGCAGCTGTGACTGCCAGGTAGCTTCCTCAAGGTGTCCGGGAGTGTTTACCTTGCTGGCATGAGGCCAGCCCAGCTGGCTGCTTACCTGGTAGTCCTGTGCTCAAGATGGCCAGGGCCTCAGAGAAGCAGCCAACATCTGTCAGTCTTGGAATTAAATGACCTTGTACCCCAAATCTTAGCTTACAGGAAACAAAGCCTTACAAAGGATGCTTACCATGGAATCTTATCAACAGCGTCTTAACAGTAATTCAGTGTTCTCCCTCCTCCGCAGTACCCTAGGGAAATGGGGGCCCCAACGACACCAACTCTCCCACTTCCTGCGATGTCCTTGAGGGACTGTCCCAGCTTACATCATCCCATTGCAGGAAGGCTCCTGATTGAAAAAAAAAATAAAGCTTATCTTAGATCGTCATCCCCTTTTTTTTTTTTTTTTTTTTTTTTTTTTTTTTTTTTTTTTTTTTTTTTTTTGGTGTTTTGAGACAGGGTTTCTCTGTAGCTTTGGAGCCTGTCCTGAAACTAGCTCTTGTAGACTAGGCTGGCCTCGAACTCACAGAGATCCGCCTGCCTCTGCCCCCAGAGTGCTGGGATTAAAGGCATGTGCCACCACCGCCCGGCTCGTCATCCCTTTTATGGACAGTAATTATAACCTGCTACATATGTGCTCTGTCATGTGTGGCCCCTGGGAGGGGTGCCTTCTCACACATTCAGATCTGGGAGGAGCCCCTATTTTATGTGGGGGAGACCCAACTGCATATGGGCCCTTGGAGGGGACATCCTACTTCACATTGGCCATAGGATGAGGCACCCTGCCGCATGTATGCGCTGGGGAGGAGTACCCTGCTGCATGCATGCGCTGGGGAGGCGCACCCTATTGCATGTATGCACTTGAAAGGGGCTGGAAACCCATTTAGCCAATTGCACAGCATATGCCCAATCCTGGTTTGTTAAGTCTGGGTTAGTCTGCTGAGGTGTTGAGACAGCACAGGCTCTCGACATTGGAAAAGCATGCCTTGCAATTGATTCAGGCTGTAAGCCAGTGGGCTGCTGCCTCCTGGAGCTGGAGGAGAATCTACTTTAGGCCTTTCCCCAAAATCCAATAGTTGTCGATCTGTGGTGTCCTTGATGTAGAGACAACATCTGACCTTGTCTCTGCCTTTACTTGCAGCACACACACACGCGCACACACACACACGCACGCACGCACACACCACATGCATATCTGTCTCCAAGCCCCCTTTTTATACGGACATCAGTCATATTGCAGTAGGGTCCACCTCACATCTTTCTACCCCCAACAACTCAGCTTTGTCAAGCCCGAGACGGCCACCTGGAGAGGTGACACATCATGACAAGAGCAGAGGGGGAGACTTGGATTTTAACCAGCCTGACTTCCCAACCTCTGGATTGACATTTGTCACTCGAATAAGCTGGGCATTTCATGCCTACATCTGCCCTCAGGTGCACCCCTAGCTTTCAAGCCATAGCAGACAGGCCTCTCTGACTCTAGGACCCAGGAGTCTGAGTGCCTGAAGTGCCATGGCGTACAGATTTCCATGAGCGGTAAGCCTTCATGGCATGTATGCAGAAGTATATAAACGTACGTCCCTATTTATGTAGAATTATATGAAAGTATTTCCCTGTTTTCTCTGCTGTGGGCACGAGCAGGGAGAGCACAGGACAGGGGCCAGACACCTCAGTCATAGATCCAGGCTCTGAGAGCTTGAGGATCCGAGGCCCTTGCTCGCCTGGGACCAGCAGCCCCTCCCCTGGACTGAGCGGATCAATAGCTGTGGTCACCAGGTGCAGAGGCCACCAATTGTGTAAGCTCTTTCTCAGATCTCCCAGCTGCCATCCTGCCTGGGCCAGGGCCCAGGCCACTTGGCATTCGAGCGAACAGGATATGGCATAGGAGAGGGGCTCAGGGTGACTGTGTCCTATTGGTATGTGGATCCTGTTCCCATCTTAAGTTCTTGCCCCTTGGAAGGTTTGCAAGATGGAATCTGGAGACTGGGGTGAGAGGAGGGAGAATGAACTGGGTTGGGAATGAGGGGCTCATAGATAGGGTCAAGGGTCAGACCCATAAATGGGGGCAAGGACCCAGATAGAGCCGAGGATCAGGGGACAGTCAGGAGAGCTATCGTCCTTTTGAACAATAACCAGTCATGCCTCTCCACCCCACAAGGCTGGATTTTCAGATACCAGCCATTTTCCTGTTGGCCCAGGGAGGGCTAATGGCTGCAATTATCATAACTCAGACCCAGGGACCTGCCCTGGTTCCTCTATCACAAAAGAGACCATGTCTACTGAGCATGCAGCTGACCTCACAGAGTAGGTGTGTGTTCACACTCTCCACACCCCATAGCTTCCCACACCACACCCTCCCATGCCACAGCCTTGCACACCATAAACTTCACATACATGCACATCTCTCACGCCACATGTGCCTCACAGACCCCCAAACACACACCTTATGCCTCACAAATTGTGGCCATCACACTGTGAACATGCCCACACCCATGTACACACAGATCTTCCCGTGCTTTACAAAGACCCGCTCCGCACTACAGACACGTCCTTCATGCAGATATTTTTTCCACGCCCCCAAACATGCATCATCTACCCACACATCCATTCCACACTGCACATATGTTTTCTATATGCCTGGTGTGCCCCTGTGCACGTACACACACACACACACACACACACGCCCTGGGAACCACTTGTCCACAGCACACTGGACCGCAGATACACATAGAACTCTCTGCAGGAAACCCTGGCTTGTATCATGTGATTTGAGGAAACGTTTGGGTGAGACCCGCCCGCTCTGCGGCAGCACGGTTCTGCAGAATTCTTCCATGAGTCTCACATGCAGCTTCCGTTTCCTAGATGTGCACCAAAATGCAAAGAAGCAGCAGGATTCATTGTCGCGCATTTCATCTAACCCAAGAGAGCAGCCAAGCCAACATTTCAGTCTACAACCATTATCCGAATGATCAATGAGATAACGGACATTTTTTTCCTCACTTGGGATCTGGGACATCTGGGGTGTGTATTACTTATGAGCCCATCTTAGCTCACACTACTCTAGCCATGTCTAGGGACCACAGTGGGCACTGCTTTCGGCAACAGGGCTTCGTAGAATAGATAATTCCCAGGTCAATGGAAGAGAGCGTCAACCTCTCCCCTACCCCTCACCCCCGCTACGCACACCACTTCTCTGTCTCCATAAGGTATGAACCCAGGCCTTTCAGGCTAGTATAGGATGTGTGAGCCCCTGTTCTCACCTGACCAGGCCTCTGTAATCCCCCAGCAGAATCTGTTCCCACTCATGCTCTTGGGGGACCAGGGGCTGTAACAAGGCAGGAATGTCACCAAGCAACAGGCCCCGGGGGAGAGCTCAGGTCTCCTGCTTCTGCCTGCCTGCTCCCTGGGTACCCATGGGGCAGGGCGGGGCTGGGTAGGCGGGCACTGCTTACCTCCTCCCTTCTGCCTGTTTACCTGTGTTCAGTTACATTGTTGCCCTGGACCTGACTGGAGGCCCATGGAGCTTGGGGCCACAGGCCACAGGGGACAAGGGCCAGGCACCCAAGCCATGGCTCCAGGCCATTGATCCAGCCTAGGCTGGTCAGTTGGGGGTGGAAAGACCTTGGCCTGGATAAACAGAGGCTTCCAGGCCTGTTTGCAGGCCTTGCATCTCCCTTCTGCTCTTGAAGGTAAGCAGGGGCCTCTGAACAGGGGACCAGGATCTATGAACAGCCTGGTGAAACATCTCCTCTCAGAGTCAGGCCTGGCTTCCTGGAGCTCTGAGGGGCCTGAGTTGCTCTGAGCTGGACTTGCAGGGCCTCATCGGTCACAGTGAGCTGGAGCAGAGACCACGGGGTGCACCAAGCTGCAACTGGGGGATTGTAGATGGAGTGAACCTACCTGGGTGTAAGGTGTAGGGTGCCAGAGGGCTTCCAGGGACTGGGTGGCCTGAGATCCAGGTGCCCCGAGACAAGAGAGGCCTAGTTTATGGGACTAGTTGCTTTATTTCTCATTCCACTTACGGTTTCATACCCTGGGCTTTCCAGAGAGCAAGGCAGACCTGGAGCTGTGTGATCTACACACAGGACCCTTGACTCAGGCTGGAGCGTGAGTGTATGTGTGTGTGTGTGTGTGTGGCTAGGGTATACACCTAGGGGCCTGTATAATGAACAGGTAGATATGTGTTCCTCAAGGTATCTCAGTCTCTAGGCATCGGTGGGGTGGGTGTGCGTGGACTTAAGTGTGTGTCAGGAGTTCCCAACAGTCCCCTCCCATGGCCTACACTGAGGTCCCTAGCTTCAGCCATTCACAGCAGGGTTTCCTCTAGGTGCCAACATGTACATCCCATGTTCCTGGGTCAGAGTTCCAGCTGGGCCCCTCTGCTCAGTCCTAGGAAGTTCATCTGCCGGTACTTCTGATTCCACTAAACAGACCATATAGCAAGCAGCCGAGGCTGTGAGAGGTGGAATGGGGCCTGTGTGCCACCATTCAGCCTGTGGCTGGGGTAGATCTCTCACACTGTGCTTGAATCCAGGTCTGCCCTGTGCTACCTAGCGGCCCTGCCCCAGTGAACCCAGCCTGCAGAAGGCAGACAAGGATGCTCCACTGTCAGGAGGGTGGGAGCGGGTCTTGCAGATGCTCTACCAGGGGAGAAGACTCCCCCCTTCCAGGGGCTGCGTGTCATGGATCAGACAGAGAGCACACCCACCTGGTCCATTGCACTGATGGGGTCACCACCCCTCCACGGACACTCTGTGAAAGCTTCTAGCAGGAAGTTGCTGTCTCCACTGAGTGTGGAGAGGTTGCTTCAGAGTTTGTGGGTCAGGAGGGAGCTCAGAGAAGAGGAACACTGGGAAAGGGGACACTTGATTATCAGTAATAGGAATTCACAGGGCTTACAATTCAACTAACGCCATGCCCCAGGCTGGTGACTGGCACTCGGTCCAAAAAGTTTGCTATTGTCCTCATTATTCAAGTTTATAATCAAGAGAAGACCCATGCCAAGAAGGAAGAGGGAAAGTAGTGACGAGGTAGGAGATGGGTCAGCCACTGGGGAGTGTGGTGCTTTTAGGGTAGGTGGGAAGGACCTGGGGTTTACATTCATTCATTGGACAGCAAGTGAAGGCTCACTACATACCCGGCTCTGCAAGGGAGCAGGACACACAGTGGCGATGGAGAAAGCCTTGTGTTTGTGCAGTTGCCGGGCAGACAGAAGACTCATAGGCATATCATGGGGGTAGGACTCCAGAAATGCCATAAAGAAAATGTCTGCAGAGAAAGGGGCAGGAAAGGCTCAGAGGAGATATATGGGCCATGAGGCAAAATGAAGGAAAACATTCCTGGCAGGGGAGGCGGCAAACACAAAGGCCCTGGGGTGGGAGTCAGCAGGCCAGCAAACAGTGTGTCTTTAGTCAAAGGAGGAGAAGCAGAGGAAGACATGCGGGGTCCTTTTGGGACTGCACTCTAGGGAGCTGGAGCTACGTGTGGCTTGCAAGCTGGGCGCATGGTGATGGTGTCATCTTGGCAGTTGTGTGGGAATTCGCCGATGGAAGTGGTCGTGACTGGTCATTATAGTGACAGTGGGTCTGGCAGAAACAGATGAAATGGCCTAGATGTGGTAGAGAGGAGAGAGGAGCTAGGAGGAGCCAAGGGGATGCCAGAAAAGGATGGGGAAAACTGGATGGAGGCCACACTCCTACATCCCAGCCCTCGGGGGAATGAGGTGAAGGCTAGCCTGGGCTACACAGCAAGGCTGTGGGTTCTCAGTGTAGTAGGAAGGTAGAGTCACATATTTTTATGATAGGCAGGACCTCATAACAATGAAAGTCGTTGTCTAATAGTAAAAGCAGTGGTGTGGCCCTCCTCATAGTGGGTATAGAAGATGGAGACAGGGGCTCTGTAGTCACTGTAAACCCCAACGCCATGCCCAGCAGAGATTTTGGTTCTCTGGGAGCTCTAACAAAATGGGGTGACTCAACCTGTCACCCAAATGAGGGGGTTGAGGCGAATTGGCATCCTTTTTGGATCTAACCCCCCAGACCCTGCTTCCCATAAGCTGCTCCACTGACACCCCAGCACCCATTGTTCATTTGAAGGAAACACCCTGAGCTGGGCTCCAGAGGTGAACAAGGGCAAAGGCTGCCTGTTTGTTTGTTTGCTGGTGCTGGCTGGCTTGTTTAGAACAAGCAAGCCCAGAGTCTGGAACAGAGGATCCTCCTGCCTCAGACTCAGATTCCTGAGGCCTAGGATTATGGATGCACCCTATCGAGCACACCTCAAGGTTTTGCTTTTTGTTTGGTTTGCTTTTGTGTGTATGAATGTGTGTGTTTCTTTGGGTATGGACACAGTGCATGCATGCTGCAATATACGTGTGCTAGTAAAAGAAAAAGTCCTCACCTCCTACCGTGTTTGGGATAGGATCTTGTTTGTGTTACCCAGCTCACAAGCTTCTGAGGGTTCACCTATCCTACGTCCCATCTTGCTATAGCAGCTCTGTGACTACCGATGTCCACTATTGCATCCAGTTTTTAGCAGGGTTCACCTGCCTTTACGCTGCATCTTGCTGTAGAAGCGCTGCAATTACAGATGCCTGCTATTGCATCCAGTTTTTATGTGGTTTCTGGGGATCCAAACTTGGGTCTTTACACTTGCCCAGTACGCATTCTATTCAGTGAGCCATCTCCCCAGCCCCAGTTCTTATTTTTAAAGGGGAGATGGAGAGAAACAAGGCCCAAAGCCAGGTATGTTGGTTTTAACCAAGGTGGCCCAAGGTGCAAGGAGGTGAGTGACTTAACTCACCAAGGACCCTGAACCCTTGAACCCATTGCAAGACAGTACATAAGAAGGGTTCCCACTTCTAGTGGCTTCACTAGGATACGGTCTCATGGCAAGGTCTTGAATGAAGGGTGATGCCTATGACAAGAGAGAATGAGCACGTCGGGCAGTGGTGTCGCACATCTGTAATCCCAGCACTCGGAAGCAGAGGCACGTGGATCTCTGTGAGTTCGATGCCAGCCTGGTCTACAGAGCAAGGTCTAGGACAAACTCCAAAATTATACAGAGAAACCCTGTCTCAAAAAAAAAAAACAAAAAGAAACAAAGAAAAGGAGAGAGAGAGAGAGAGAGAGAGAGAGAGAGAGAGAGAGAGAGAGAGAGAAGAAGGAGGAGGAGGAGGAGGAGGAGGAGGAGGAGGGAGGCAGGGAGGGAGGGAGGGCAGGCGTGGATGCCCTGGCACTGGGAACCATAGGGGGATTTTACAGCAGGTGGATGAGGGCAGAGGGCAGGAGACTTTCTGGTGACAATGTGGAGGATGTGTCAGAGAAGGGGACAGGAAGCAGGCAGCCTAGCTAGGAGACTGTTCAAAGAGTCCAGGTGAATCCTCCTACCAACACATGTTCTGGGGGGTGCACTTTGGGGTCACAGTGACATCTATAGGAGATGGCATCACAAGAAGAGAAAACAACCCAGTGAACTGGAATCCTTGCTGTGATGTGATGTGTGTGTGTGTGTGTGTGTGTGTGTGTGTGTGTGTGTGTGTGTGTGTCGGAGCCCTGGGGGGGTACTGTCCTTCTGTGTCCAAAGTTTGCTTCGGAGTATCTAAGATAGAGCAACAGAAGAAACTAGGAAGGGTGACTCCCATTGTCATTTGACTATGACTTGATCATTAGAGGAGATAGCCCTACTGGGGGCTGTGTGATCTTAGCCAGGGGCTTAGCCTCTCTGACCTTCAATTTGTTTTCATTTGTGTTAGTCCCAGTCATTCAAATACACCAGGAAGATGAGGCTAGGCTAATCCTAGCCTGAGTTATTTCCAAGACACTTGGGGTCTCACTTTCTTCACCTGTCCAATGGGTTCAAAGTCCCAAGAAGCTTACATGGGGAGGGCTGGCTGGAGAAGAACATATGGGGACAGTTGTTCATATCCTGAGCAATCTGTGGATTAAATAAAGTAAAATGTCTCCCGAAGGAATGGGATCATGAACTTCTGCGGTCTTCCTCAGTCCCAAAAGATTTTTGAGATGAGGAGAGCAAAGGCCCCCGAACCTTGCAGGGCAACAAGTCTGGGTGGAGGACAGGGATGGTTCAGAGTATCTGGGGACTGGGGTGCATACGAAGATTTGGGGTGTTAGACACCCCAAGGAAGGAAAAGCATGCTCCTACATGGAAGGGAAGCCACTGGGAAAGTGGCAGAAGTCTGTATTCATGGCTCCCACCCGTTTGTGGGCCCTTCCTTAGGACCCACAGGGAGTCAAACCATCTAGCTCTGTCACCTGCCTTCTGGCATGTACCCCTGAGGCCACTTCTGCTCCCTGTAAGCTGCTCAGCAGTCACTCTCAGTCCCCACTTGCAAAGTCCCTGCCCTTCCGTGCAAAGGGCAGGGATGCTGCCTTGCTTCTG